GTTACCAATCAGTCTAACACGCATGTTTTTGGTCTGTGGGAGGAAACCGGAGTACCTGGAGAAAACGCATGTATGCAAACTACTTCCAGAAAAGTCCCCGGCCAGGATTTGATCTGGCAACCAGGCAACAGCTCTGCCAACTGAGCCACAGTGGCACCAATTTTGGAAACCATTAGCAGACTTGGCTTCTGATAAATTACGTTTTGCCAACATTAAATCCATCCATCCATCCATCCATCCATCCATCCATCCATCCATCCATCCATCCATCCATCCATCCATCCATCCATTATCTTCTGCGTGTTCTGAAGTCGGGTCACAGGGGCAGCAGCTTGAGCAGGGAAGTCCAGACATCTCTTTCCACAGCCACCTCTTCCAGCTCTTCTGAGAGGACCCCAATGCGTTCCCAGGCCAACTGAGAGACTTAAGCCCCCAGTATACTGCCGCGTACATCCATACGCAGAGGTACGCATGTACGCACGCAGAGGTACGTGCGTACCCCCCAGGGCATGTCCGTGCAAAGCTCACATTTTTACGACCGCATACGCGTACGCGGTGTTGCACAATAAACTGCCCAGCGAGGGACTGTTTTGTATGCGACACCAATGTATTAAATTCCCCTTCTTCATCCCTGATCTGACCTTTTCTTTTGTTTTTTTGCCAAGAGGCAGTGATCTCTTCCTCCTCCGTTGATGCCATGACTGAAATGGTGAGAAATAGAGGAATTTGTCACGGGTGAATTAAACTCGGGTCCAGCGTGGCTGAGGGAGGGTCTGGAGATTTCCTGGTTGGCTGGTCTGATGTGTGGGCTGTAGAGCCAGCACTCTCTGTTATTTTTATTTTTTAGATCTTTTTATTAACAACATGTAAACACAGAACACCGCTGCGTGAGGCTGCCAGCGCTCGCTTTTTTCTTTTTTCCGACCTGTCAATCAATCCAGTAGGCATGTCAGCAAATGACCAATCGGCGACATCAATTTGTCCCGAAGGTAAACGCCTCTCGTCTGTGAAGCTGCTCTGCAGCTGCTCGGGGTGTACGCTGGAGTATCATGTCTGAACCTTCTGTGTACAGTACACGCGTACGTACGCGTGAACGGACATACGCGGCAGTATACTGGAGCCTTTAGTCTGTCCAGCATGTCCTGGGTCTTCCCCGGGGTCTCTTCCCAGTTGGACATGCCCAAAGCACCTCCCT